TTTTTTTTTTTTTTTTTTTTTTTTTTTTTTTTTTTATTCCTAACCTTTGTGCGACAATAATAATATAATTATACAAGTCTCGTCCGACGCGACACAATATAATATACGCAATTTAAGGGAGCCGCGGAAAATATGTGTTTGAACAACGCCCGCGTGTACGTACATACTTGACGTCGTCCGCACAAAGTCGGAACGTATTTTCTAAAGGCCTGAGCCCAATGCCGGTGGAGTGGTAAGTACGCGCACAAAGAGTGCCCCGGCACGCGCGTGTGTACACTAGTGGCGACAGTGCGACTCTCGGCCAATCATAAAAGACGACCCGTGAGACCCGCAGCGATGTATTATCTTCCGATCGGGATTTTTTTTTTTAATTTTTTTTATTTTCGGAGGGCTACGGAAACACCCGGGAGAATAGTATTCCAGAATGTCATTCGCGTTCAATGGCGGTAAAAACCGACGGTCCCCCGCGTTTTCGTCTCAAAATTTCAAACTCCGATATGATAATAATATATTTCACGACTAACGGAAACCCGACTAAGATCGGTATTTTTCGTAAACGCGACACGATAGTGTTACTGTTGCTATGTTCGCGCGACGGTTTCCGTGACTATCGTCTACGAAGACGAAATCGGTTTGTTTCGCAGCTCAACCGACGAGAGCGTATAGAAAATGACAATATCTGTAAAAAAAAAAAAAAACATAAAAAACCCCGCTCGCCCTCGGCGTGTTGCCGCGACGGATTTCGACGCTTCTCCTACTTACAGCAAGCAGTTAACTCTGTGATATAAATTTTCGAACGGCACTTTTACGCGAACACGCGCATAAAGTCAAACCTTTTGCAGACGCGTTGTGCGGATGCTCGCGTATTTTCGCGAAATCGTTTTAATCGGGGGGGTGGGGGTGGGGAGGGGAAAGTCAACGCGTAAAAGTTCGTCGGGAAACTCCGAAACGAATTGTCACGAACTCGACGTGCGCGATTAGTTTCGGTGCACGACAAATGTGCGCGTCGCGGGCGGCGGCGGCGATGCGTCTTAAAGTTTTACGGCTGATAAACCGCTCGCAGGACGCGTACATGGGTAACCGTGTACGCGCGTCTACATCCATTATGTACAAAAGGGAAATCGTTACGTTATTATCGTCCGATCCCCGAGGCGCGCCGGCGCGGATGGGGGGGGAGGGGGGCGTGATAAAGCGACTGTTCTCCACTCACCTCCGCTCCCCTCCCCCCTCGCCCCACCGCCGCTTCGTCCCGTCGCTTCACCTAATTACTCCCATTTGGCGGCGTGGCGCGCGAGCACCGTACTTTACTTCGCGGCGACTTTTAAAAGGTACGCACGTAGGCGCGACGGTGACGGCGACGAGGGTTTTATCCGCGAACGTATTTCGTTCGTTGCCGACGACTGCCGACCCCGGGACTTTGCGTTTAAACGCGCGGTCGCGTTAATTGACAATAGAACGCAGTGTAGGCTGTGCGTAGCACACATTGTGTTGGTGCGCGGCGCGAAACGTCGCGCGCTATTAAACGGCTACTACCCGTCGTCGCCTTTGCGCGGTACAAACGGGTCAGCGGAGAAACGGAAACGCCCCCGGGGGGAAGGGGGGGGGGCGCCCGCCGCCGTTCCTCTTGTCGGCGTTGCCGCGTGGCCACGCCGCGAAAGCCGTTCGCCGGCTAATCGCTTTTTCCTCTCCGGCACTATTGATAACGAAATTATCGCACCGGTCGATGCCGCCAAAGTCCCGGCCGCGGTAAAACCGTACGCGGTTTTTCGACGCGCGCGAGATTGTTTACAGACAACACATAGGTAGTCGGCGTCGCGGCGCGGCTCCCGTGCGAGCGCGTACGGCTTTTTTTTTTTTTTTTTTTTT